AATGGTGGTAGCAGAAGGAAAGAGGAGCAGAGAAATATGCCTAGTAAATGGATGAGCAGATAAGTTGCAGCCAGAATCCAAGTCTAACTCCAAATGTCAAACTCTTTTGTGCCACTCTGCTCCTCCTAACTGGTCTTCCTGCCTCTATTCTGGTAGCCCTCTCCAAGAAATTCTTCAAAGTACTAAGCTTCCTTCTGTAACACAGATCTGATCAGGTCATTCTCCTGCTTTAATCTCTTTAATGGCTTTCCTCTATTTTCAGAAAGAAGTTGAAACAGACAGGTCTACCATATGTACCCTTTTCAGCCATACACATCTAACTGAACTTTCTTTATTGGGTATCTATCTTTGTACAGGTTGCTCTTTCTACCTAGAATCCCTTTCCTTTCTCTTCTTCAATTAATAACCTATTCTTTCAAGTCAACTACTATGATAAGCCTTTCTTTACCATGATCAAGCATCCAATTGCATTTAGATGCCTCTCCATGTCTTTTTTATAGCCCCACTTAAGCATATTCCCATCACAATTTATCACACTGCTCTTTGATCAGTAATTAACAACCCTGTTTGCCTTACTAGACTATGAGCATCTTTACATCACCAACCCTAAGAGCAGTGATTTTTCAACTGGTGTGCCATGAGAGGATCTTAGGTGTCCTCTGAAAATTTTTAAAGATCATTAATTATTTTTGAAAGAAGTTCAAAACATATTCATCATATTCTTTTTTTTGATCAACATAATTTAAGTGTGCCACGGAAGTTTAACTTTAGGTTCAAGCATGCTGTGAGATTAAAAAAAGGTTGAAAAACACTGCCTTAAAATAATGCCTAGCATGTAACAGGGATGTAGCAAATGTATATTGGATATATGAAATCATTGTGTTCATACTTTATCCTTTCCAATTGTAAACAAATAACCAAATACTCAGGGTGGTGCTGTTGCTCAGGGGTTACAGCACCAGCCCCATATACCAAGGGTGGTGGGTTCAAACCTGGCCCTGACCAAAGTGCAACAAAAAATATAGCCGGGCTTTGTGGCAGGCGCCTATAGTCCCAGATACTCAAGAGACTAAGGCAAGAGAATCACCTAAGCCTAGGAGCTGGAGGTTGTTGTGAGCTGTGATGCCACAGCACTCTACCGAGGGTGACAAAGTAAGACTCTGCCTCAAAAAAAAAAAAAAATACTCAGAAGGCTATAGAATAACCAGAAAGTTAACTTCCATTATTTCAAGTTGCTATTTCAAGTTGTATCTCCTGTATACAAAACCAAAGGTTTCAGAAATTATACACAAATACAAAGTGCTAAAACATCAAATACTGTCAAGTCACTCTACCAGGGGTGTCCAACCTTTGTTTTTTTCTGCTGCACATTGGAAAAAGAAGAGTTGCCTTGGGCCACACATTAATTATACAAACACTAGCGAAAGCTGATGGTGGGGGGTAAGGTCTCTGCATACTTTTCACAATATCAGATACCACAGATAAGCAAAACAGTCCTCAAATAATCTGCATGCTGTACTGGGCTGCAGGTTGGGCACACCTACCCCATTGTGTACGTGAGAAAGAGATCGAAAGAGAGAGAAGCGTTAGTTCTAGTTTAACCTTAGCCTCTCTTGGCCACCCCTACACCACTGTGTGTGAGGAAGAAAGAGATCTGTAACAGAGAGAAACATTAATTCTACTTTAACCTTGGCCTCTCTTAGAGGTAAAGTCATGGCCATAAACATGTGGGATTCAAGATGTACCTCCTTCATAATACTTCCAGAGCTTTCTCTCCTACTCAACTTAATAAAATACATTCCATGGTTGATATCAAATAACTAATTAATCTAAGATTCATGCTGTTTGATGACGTACTACAATCTTGTTCTAACCAGATAAGTTACAAAACCCCAAAACTATACTACGAATGCATTATTCAAAATGTGATGAGTTCAAGACAGGAATGCCTTCTTTAAAAAGAACCAAAATAAAAGTGTCATTTTAAGGATGCATATATGAATAAAATGGAATTGAATTTCATTAAATTTATATGTAATTAACCTTAAACAGAAGCCATTACAATCCTGAAATACCACTCTGAAAAAATTCTCACTAATACTCATCAAAAAGTTTAGAATATAAATGAAAGTAGGTCCTCTTTATAGGAAATATGCTTTCCATTTCCATTTTCTGCAATCATGAGAAACTACATGAAAATAACTGAATCACAAACCTTAAACTTTATGAATCCACTCTGGTAGAGAGATTGAGTCAATTTTTCTATGCAGTGGAAACTCTAATCTTAGCTAATACTACACAGACACTGTGTAGTTAACTTCTTTTTGCCCCCAGAAGAATTATCTTCAATATCCACCATCCATGTGGCCAGTGCCCTTTCCCCTCCCCAATTCATTTGGAGTGCAATCAACAGTCATTTTCAGGGCCCGGTGCACCTGAGCAAGAATGAGATTTTCCCCCCCTAAAAAAAAGCCAGTGTTGTAGAGGGTGCCTATAGTCCCAGCTACTTGGGAGGCTGAAGCAACTGGATCTTTTGAGTCCGAGAGTTTCAGGTGACTGTGAGCTATGACACCACAGCACTCTATCAAGGGTGACAAATTGAAACTCTATCTCAAAGAACAAAATACTGATAAAAAATAAATAAATAGTCATTTTCTTTACTATCTTTGGTAATCAACAGTTCTTATTCTTCCTTAGGTGATGAACACCTTTGAGAAACTGATGGAAGCTATGGGGCCTAAAAAATGTACCTAACATATACTCAAATATATTCATATAATTTCAGGAATTTAAGAGCCTCTATCCTCCACAACACCTGTACAAATAATTTCTATGACTATATCTCTTTTATAATCCCACACTCCTTTAGAACCCACATACACACAAAATTAAGGACTATAATAGTATTAATATTCAAAATAATAAAATTTAGTCTAAATAAAGTTTTACTTTACAAGTAAAATTTTAAGAATCCCTGACGAACTCTTCCCTGAAAAGCTTATCAAGTCTTAGTGTTTGCTCAACTCGCTTGCCTTAAAATGTGCTATAATGTTGTCCCAAATTTTATTAACTCTGTCACATCATATAAAATCATATAAAACCAAAAAGTTATGTTTGAGCAAAACCAAAAAATTCATAATGATATTAAGAAATTCTTGGATTCAAATACTTGTTTTACTATATCAAGCTATGTTCAACGCGGAACAGTGAAGTTAGCTGGGAAGTGAACGTGATACCATCTCATTAACTATCCTGTTACCTTGTCAAAGCAAGTAAAACATAAAAGATGAAACAAGACAAATGGCCAACGGGAAGGGAAGAATATAATCAAGGTGTTACTGCTAACAGAGATTAAGTGTTTATTCTCAAAAGCATTCTAGATTCTTGCTAGATGCACCAAAGTACTTGTGGAAATGATCAGGTAAGTTTTATTTTTACTTAACTTTTAATCATTGATTAGACCACAGGTTTGTACGGGGTCCAAAATAAGGAAATATGATCACTAACTACAAACTGATAAATTTCCAAATCACATCAGAATTTGTAAATATATGAAACTTCGGTGCCATACAAAACTTTTCTAAGTTTTATGATGGTGCAGGCACCTGAGCCTGTGACTCACTTTCTTTTGTGGTAAATACTGGAGTAACGGGACAGATCAAGTAAGCAAGTTCTCAATTTTCCTAAAGTTAGGGTGGAACTGATGAGACTTTAAACTTGTCATTTTAATCTACCCTACCAGGTTCCTTCCCACATAGTGGAAGGCTGCATATTTCCTAATATAATAACGCATTGACCATCGTTTTCCAACATGAACAGTCCATAATTGAAAGGCAACGGGAGCTAAGAGGAGTAAAACAGGTCTATACCAAATAGCAAGATCCCAGAAGAAATAGCTATATTTATGTCACCAGCTCCTTCCCTCTTATAACCAAGTTACTGGTTGAAGCTGAGGTCCTACATACGCAACATGTGGCTTGTGCTTCAGATCTAACCTAAGAATCTTCAGCTGTAAGGACTTATTTGCTCAATTTGTGTAGGAAAACACTTTCCCCTCAAGCCACTGAAATTAGAAAGTTTAGAGAAAGAGGAACCCTTTTAACTGATGAGTTGAGAAAACTCCAGTATTTCCCAACGCAATACTAGGCCCCCTAGATTTCATTCCTCTGCACATTCAGTGACAGGAAATGGACTGCTACCGCTGGTTCACACTATCAGGACCGACGGTGGGATAGTCTGCCTGTCGATCCTGAGCGTTCTTAACTAAATCAAAGTCTGTATGACTATGGCTACTAAACCCACACACACACACACACACACACACACACACACTCTCACTCTACAGTTGGTGGCACCTCACCCAGCCTCCAGCTCCCACGTTCCCACCACCCTTCCAAAGGAACGTTTCTTGGGAGAGCACATGGAGAGAGAAGCACTGGGAGGAAGGAGGGCGGAGAACGCACGTAGGCGCCTCTTCCCTACATTTCTGGTAAAGTGGAAAGATTGGGGGCCTACGTTGTGTTTTTCTTGACTCACAAAGCTGTGGGTGGGCTCCTAAGTATTTGGACAGAAAAGGAGAGGTTCCCCGGCCCGGACCCTATTAAGTGTTAAGAGGCAGAACAGCAACTGACGAGGTGGGAGGTGAATAGAATTGCACCGAGGAGGTTGGTGCCCACAAGTTAGACAAACAACAGCCCTGCCCAGTAGTCGGGGTCTCCCCAAGTTGGGGTGGGGCCTTTCTCCCTCCCGGACTGCCTCCTGGGCTGACCAGAGTGAGAGAGGGGTTGTGAGAAAGGGGTTAAGTGCAGCAGGGGGTGCTCTTCCGCCCCCACGCCTTCTCCGCGCCTCGCCGTGGCCGCTCCTTTAGCGGCTTCCCGAGTTACACAGCGAGGTCGCGATCACCCTGGGAAGGGGGCCCCGGGCGCCCCCGTGTTCGACGGCAGGACGATCCCGGGGCTCTCCCTGTCCCCAAGGCCGGCGGGGGCTGCGGGAGCACTCACCAATTTGGGTTTGTTTTTCGTTTCCTCTTCGTTGGCGGCCCGGTTCCCAGGGCTCCGCTTGTTGCTCCGGCCCCCACAGGGTTCCTCGTTGCTGCCTCCTGCTCCCGACGCCGCGGCCCCGGGCTGCTCCATCTTTCTCTGGCCCTGTCACCTGCGCCTGCCCTGTAACCCCACTGCTCCTCAACTGAGGAAGCCCTTCGGGGCGCTCACGCTGTCCCGCGCTGATTCGGCAGCACCTCTTCCAGAGGGACACTGTGAAGAGCTGCCGATTTCAGGCCCCCGGGACTCCCGGCTCTCAAGCACCCTGGACGCAACCACGCTGCCACTACAAGGCACCAGGGCAAGCCCTGCCCCTGAGCAGTTGCAATTAACCACGGTCGCCTTCGCCACCGCCCTCAGGGCGGTGTTTAGGGTGGAGGGAAATTCGGTGCCTATCTCTTTAAGACGGCCTCAACACACGTGATTCATCAAAGTGCCCGCAGTCGGCCGCCGGGGCGCGGAAAGCTGCTTCCTACTCTGGGAGCCGAGCCGGTCCCAGCTACTGAGCATGCCCGGAGCGGCGACTGGAGCCTAGCAGAGGACTTTCAACTGCGGTTAAGCACTGATTTCACTTCCTAGTGGCCTGGCGTGACGTGAGAGGGAACTAGTGTAGAGTCAGGAGGAGTAGCCCATTTTAGAGATGAGAAAACTGAGGCCGGGAAGGCTATGTGTGTTTCACTGGCGGGCCGAGTAGCAGTGAAAGTAGCAGCCTTCACTCCTGCGGACCAGAGCACCTTTCTTCCCAGAGGCCTCGCTGGGGTGTGGTCCTGCTACGTCCATGGGAAGGGAAAGTTTGATTTGACAAGGCAACTACTGGCGTCTCATAGGAAAACCACAGGGAGTGCTGATTAATTGCCTAGACAGACTGTATGGGTCAAAGTGGAAAGAGTAGGTGATGTCTCTTACCCTTATTGCGTTGTGACCAAAGAAATACAGTGAATCCTTTATTTCCAGGCCGGGTAGTTGAAGTAGCAGGCGCCCACTGCTTAATCCCTGGGGAGTTGTTAGGCACTTTAACTAAACCACTTATATAGAGCTAACAATTGAGTTGAGTGCTATTTTCAGGTTCCCAAACTTGTTTAGGTTTAGAGTTGTTGTGAGGCGTGAATAAGATTGTGTGTCAAAGCTTTGCTCAAAATGTAAGCCCCTAGACAGAAGCCAGGTGTGTTTGTGCAGCAGCAGCAACAGCAGCAAGTCACTGTTGGGACTACAGTCCTCACTCCTTGGGTTATACCTAGCCTTTTGTCTTAGGGAAGAGACCCACAGGGCATTTCATCTATCCTCTTTCAACTTTGTCCTTTAAAAATAAAGGTGCACACTGAGGACATCAGAGGTGTCGGGCAGGATTTGAATGAACCACCATCAAAGAATAGGATCGCGTTTGTAAATTTAGATAGCAAGTCCATAAAAATGCCACATGCCTATTACGGAAGATATCTTCAGGCTGTGACTCCTTTTGCCCTTCTCCCTTCTATATAAATTTAGCTATGCTGAATCAATTTGTATCTGACTGTATGTACTTAGGGTGTGTTAGGATAAATTTGACCATGCTATAGGTGTGAGGAGGCAACTAACTTTGGTAGTAGAGTGAAAAAGAACATTACATATCTGAAAACAACTCTAATCCCAGCTTTGTCCTTGTCATTCTTTTTTTTATATTCCTGCATGTGTGACTTCTCTTCTACTAAGGTGGTAAACTACCCAAGGACAGCAAAGAAGAGAAAATGTGTGCTCCCAGACAGTGTGGGCAAGGAGCCCCAAGATAAATTTCCTTTATTGTGGATCCTGTTTGACTTAAAATTTCATGTAGATTTTGAATTCACCTTAACTGCCCACACCCATACCTGATTTGTCTAAATGTCTCTCCTCCTGAAATACTGAGTAAAAATGGATGCTGCAAAAAGATGTGACCTGTTCATCCAATGCTTTCAATGTAAATCCTGTTTGAGAGACATACGTGTAGGTGTGAACCACAGCTGAGGGCCCTCCAAGCTCAAACATTGCTGAGTAATCTCAGTAGACATTTCTTGAGCTCCTTAGACAGGCAATCCCCAATCTTTTTGGCACCAGGGACCAATGTCATGGATCATGATTCATGGAAGACAATTTTTCCACAGACTGGGGATTGGGAGGAATTTAGTAGGAGTTGGAGCTCAGATGGTGATGTGAGCAATGGGGAAACAGCTGTAAATAAAGCTCACTCACCTGCCACTCACCTCTTCTTGTGTGACCCAGTTCCTCACAGGGGGTTAGGAACTGCAGCCTTAGGGTATACCAGGTGATATACAGAGTGCTATGAGTTAGAAGAATGAAAATGACACAATTTCTGCCCTTTAGAATCTCAAAGTCTATTGAGAGAGACAGACTATTAAAGGACTGCACAGACATTTGCAGGAATCACATGTGATTGATTCCTCCCAACCCCCAGTCGGGAGGGAAAAATTGTCTTCCATGAATCATAATCCATGACACTGGTCCCTGGTGCCAAAAAAGATTGGGGACTGCTGCTCTAAGGAAGAAGGAGAATGGAGAGCATTCAGGCAAAGGAAATAACAATTAGCATGTGCAGAGCCCCTGTGGTTAAGAAGTTGGAGGAAAATGGGCAGTGTCTGTGGCTCAAGGAGTAGGGCACCGGCCCCATATACTGGAGGTGGCAGGTTCAAACCCAGCCC